ACAGTAAAACTTTGCATGTGAATCCTTTTTGCCTTCTTGGTAAACGTATATTTTATGAAACATTATCTTTTAAAATAAAATTGAGTTCACATACTGAAGTAATTTTGTAACCATCTTTTTCCATGGGGTATTTCATAATATTTTTTGATACCATCATTTTCCACCATCATTTTGAATGACCGCATCTTATTTTGTACTTGGTTGTATCACTTACCTACTGCTGCCTTCTCTGGAGCCATGAAAAATTATGTACCATAGAGATCTAGTAAAATATGTTTTTACAGGTATCTGACACTTTTCTTAGGCTAAATGTCTGGAGTTAGAATTGTTCTGTTTAAAAGGGTGTGTTTTTTGAGGTTTTTAATGCACAGTACCAAATGGCTCTCCTATGAAGGCCTGTCACTTCTGTTATGGTTGTCAGTAGCACTATGTCAACCCTACACATGAATGACCACTTCCCAGTAGCCTTTATCGAGTCTAATGATAATCTAGTAGATTTTAAAAAAATATATTGTTTTAAGTTTTCATGTTTCCAGTTATTGATGAGGTGTATTATTTTAATGACTATTAACCATTTGCATTTTTCTTTTAAGAAGTGCTTATTTGTGTCCATTGCTCTTTTTTCTGTCTTATTTAAAAAATTGATTTGTAAAATGTTTACACATATTAAGGCCACTATTTTATATTGCACATCTTTTTCAAGGTTTACATTTGTCGTTTAGCTTTGTGTCTTAATTTTTTTCATTGAACTTATGTTGAGATACTTGTACATTCATAAGCCGTTGTGAGAATAGTATAAAACAAGGGAAAAAAGAAATGAAATCACACCGAGCGATCCCATCTACCCTCTCACCCAGGGTCTCCCACTGGGAACAGCTTTCCGAACTACCGGACAGTATCAAAAGCAGGATAATGACATTAACATAGTCAAAATACAGGACACTTCCATTACTGAAAGGCGCCATACACACTTGCCTCTTGTCCTCAGCTTCTCGTTAACCCCGGGTAACCTCCAATCTGCATTCCATGTCAATGAGGTAGTCGTTTCAAGAGCGTTACAGAGATGGAATTATAGAGTAGGTCAGTTGATGAGGTTAGCTTTTTGACTTTAGCATAATCTCTGGAGGCTCGTACATATCAACAGCCCACTCCTTGTTGCTCCGAAGTATTCCATGGTGTCGATATGCCCCCATTCATGTGAGCAGTAGTTCGTTGAAGGGCATCAAGTTGGTTCTAGTTTGGGTGTTAAGGGTAAAGATGCCGTCAAGATTGTGTACAGGTTTGTCTGCTTTTGCCGCTACCTCTCTTCCTTTGGGGTGTGCGTACACTTTTTTTTTTTGTGTGCGTACACTTTTAAAAGTTTCTAGGAAAATGAAGGAAAAGATCATAAAAACTGCTCACAACCTTTCGGAAGCCACCTCGTATCGATGACAAAGCATTTGCTGTTTCAGCGGTTTTTATAGGTACCTTTCGCGACGTTCATTGTGCAGTGCAAGCACCCCCACCACCCATGACCCACTTTTCTGTCACCCTCACAGAGCTCAGTGCCACTTCAGCAGGGACTTCCTCTTTCTCTTCTGTTGGCAACCAACAAAGGATTTCATCTCTACACATTTTCCTAATGTAGATATTTCTTTTAAGTGGGATCTCATGATATTTGCACTTTAGTGGCTGACTGACTTCACTCATCATGATGTTTTCAAGGGTCATACCTGTCGCACATATGAGGACTTCATTTCTCTTTCTGGCTGAATAATAGACCCCTTTGTATTTATCCATTCATCTGTTCGTGAGCTTTTAGGCTGTTTCCACCTTTGGGTATTATGAAAGTCCTGCGGTGAAAGTCTCTGTTTACTTTTCCACGTGCAGGTCTTTGAAATGTACCGAGGAGTAGACTTGCTGGATCGTAGCTCTGTCATGTTTTCAGTGTCTACAACATCTTTGGTGATTCCATACTCTCAAAAAAAACCCAAACCCAACAACCCAACAAAAAACCAGGCTCACTCCCATCGAGTTGATTCGGATTGATGGTGACTCCGGGAGACAGGGTAGAACTGCCCTGGTGGATTCCTGAGGAGGGACCCGTGATGGGAATAGAAAGCCTTGTCTTTCTCCTCAGGGAGAACTGTCATCGTGTGCTTTTCTAGTTGTGGCAAAAATATACACCACAAAAGGTTCTCTAGTTCCACAACTTCCACGTGTCTAATTCAAAGTCAGTGATGATGCTCTTCATGTTGTACAGCCCTTATTGATAGCCTTTCCCAAATTATTAGGGTCCCCTGGGCAACCGCTTTCTCCTTCACTTGTGGCAATCATTGGTCAAATTTGTTTTCTTTCTTTTTTTGTAGTTTTCTTGATACACTATTCACATGTCGTGTACTTCCATTGTTAAATCGCTTTTAAAAAGGGTTGTGTGTACATCATCACAATCAGTTCTAGTGACCCCCCCATCATTATTTGCTCCCCAAATGAGACTTTTTCTTTGCTGTTTTTTTTTTGTTTTGTTTTACACATTTCTAATTTTTTGTTGAATTTTTTGTGATGGTTGCTTTAAAATCTTTCTCAGATAGTCCTAACATTTCTGCCATCTCAGTGTTGGCATCTATTGATTGTCTTTTTTCTTTCAGCTGGTGTTTGTGTTAGGCCGGTTGACTAGAGAAACAAATCCAGAGATGCTCATAAATGTATAAGAAAGAGCTTCATATCAAGAAGTCATCGTGCATCAATAAAATATCCCAGCCCAGTCTACCTCAAGTCCCTAAGTCTGATACTAGTCCGTAAATCCCTCTCCAGACTCACACAGCCGCATGCAGTGATGCAGAGTGCTGGACCATCACAGGTGCAGAGCTGTGTGGGTCCACTGGCGGTGGCTGAATCAGGGGCTCGTGCAAGTCAACAGCAAGGCGAAGGCAGGGAGAGAGAGGGGCTGGCTCCCGGCAGCCATTTATCTCAGTCCTACCGCCAAAGGAGGTCATCAAGCGGCGACCTGATTGACATCCATCCATATCTTCTTACAGGTGCCATGTTGGCACAAAAAACCTAACTGTCACAGCTTTCTTACTGGTTTTTGGTGTGACCCATAGTTTTGGTTGAAACCTGGACATTTTGTGTTAGTTAGCTAACCTTTGTGGTGCTACGGTGGCCGGGGAGAGAAGGAAGGCTGACCCGCCATGACTGTCAGGTGGGTTAGAGGTGTAGATTCTCCACTTGGTCTCCACTGACAGCTCAAAGAGGAGGACTCATTATTGCTGGGGGAAGAGTGGGTGTTCTGGGCCCCACATGGTTTTCCCTGATACACAGCGAGTCGACTGATTACCAGCTGGGAGGGATGAAAGTCCAACCTCTGTCTTTCAGACACCAACTGGGTGTGGTGTTGCTCGTAGTACTGAGTCATCTTTTAACAGTCTCAAGAGAGTGAAAGGCTTTTCATTTCATCTTCGGACCATATTTTTTTCTATTTCTTTGTATGCTTTGTGATTGTTGTTTTAACTGCCATTTGAATCTTACGATGCGCTAACTCTGGAAATCCGGTTCCTCTGCATCCCCAGAGTTGGTTGTTTGTGATAGCTGCTTTTTCCATTTGTGCAGTGACTTTTGCCCACTGTGTTTGCACCGACTGTATTCCTTGTCACGTGTGATCACGGAAGTCTCTCTTCCTCTGACTTGTATCAGCCAATATTTTGACAGTATATCTTCCTGGAATGCCAGGAGCTAGAAACCAAGCAACCAATCCCCAAAGAAACCCAAACAAACCCTTCTCCCAGCCTGTGCAGAGCGACTCTGCCAGAAGCTCCTTTCCCACTGCCTCGGTCATTCCCCGCTTACCTGTGCCGAGCCGAGAGATCAGCCTGAGGGGACTTGCTTAGGGTCTCGTGGGATCCTTTCTGAGCATGTGCCTTGTCTTGGGCTTTCTAGATTCCCATTATAAATAGGAGTTTTGAGTTTAATTTTTCAAAGGAATTCTCTGCCCTGCTTTTCCTGCCAGGCTTTAATTTGCCCGTTTTGTTTGTTTCCAGTGTCATCTTCCGCTCCATGCTGTGCCTTTTTCATTTGTCTTACAGTGTTTTTTGAGCAATACTTATCGCCTTTCATTCTCGAGTAGTTTCCCAGTTAAATGACGCAGAAGTGAGCACTTTGTGTCAGTCCCTTGGGTAACCTCCCGACAGGTTGGGGAAAAAAGTATGATGTGTGAATAAGGTCCGCTCTGCTCCCTGCAGACCCAGGGCCCAGGGTTTCATGCGGGAACACAGGCTGCTTTCTTCAAGACGGCCACCAAGCCAGGGAGGGGGCAGGACAAGGCAAGTGAAAGTGCCACAAAACGCTTGTACCGTTTTGAAGCTGCCCATTTTCAAAGGCAGCATTTGTTTGGAATTAAGTTAATTATTGGTCCGAGTTCCAACCAAGTTGCTTGTAGCAGTTTCTACTTGTTTTGATGTTTCTCTGGTGGAATGAGTGTTTATAACTGCCTACTTTTTTGGCTTTCTATTGCCATTTCGAATAGGAGCCTCTTTATTTTTCTAACCGATTATTCTTAGTTCAGGTATGCGTCACTTAATGTTCACAGGATTTTCTGTAAAATAGGATGTGCGATATGGATGTTGTGTGATCACCATATTATATACAGGCCTTCCCTACACCATCCGTGGTTGCATCTCTGTAAAGCTTACTATATGAAAACCTTATAGGAGCCCACCTGACAAAATCCCGGAGGCAGTATCTGCTGAATACAGAAGATCGGCCTTGACACGTGTGTGGCTGGGCCGGCAACCAGATCAAGACTTTGCTCTTGACTGGCCTATAGGGTAGGAGGTACCGTATGGTGCTTTGGGGGGCATGGGAAAGTGGTCCTGGGGAATGGGAGCAAGGGTGTTGGTCGTGGCCCTGTCTGCTGTGGCCCTGTTCATGCTACTACTTCCTGATCATATGCAGCTGCTGCTGCCATCACCACCCAGTGCCCAAAGCTGACAAGCACCCTGGCCCCAGTTGGCTCTGTCAGTCCCTGCCACTGAAGAAGAGCCACAGCAGGCACTGCCTGTGTCTGAGGTCAGAGACGCTATGGCTTCTGGTTGGCTCAGGGAAGCCAGGAAGAGGTGGCGGAGGAGGCCCTACAGGGATTGGGGTATGCTCACTCACACCCTTGGAGTCTTTAAAACCATTAGGGGGAAATAATAAGCAAAAAGAAAACAGCTCTTAAACCAAAATATTAAAATCTGAAGCAATTATTTCTTGACAGACCCTCCCTGGAGGTGATGCTTCCATCTCCTCACACCTTCCCTGAAAGATTCCGTCCTCTTCAATGTGCACCCCATCAAAGCAGCAGTTTGGGCATCTCTGAAGGACTCAAACTGCGTTCCTTTTAACCGTGACTTGGGCAAGATCAGGGCTGTGGGACATGCAGGGCCAGGCATCAGGACAGCGCTTGATACCTTTAGAGCACGAGCATGTGCACTGTTAAGATGGGAAAATTCCTGGGTGCAAGTTCCTGGCCTTTTCCTCACTAGTTCAGTTTCCCATTTTCTCAAAACTTCCTCCTAGTAACTGAAAATACAGGGAATCCAGGGCGGATGAGCCCTATCGGACCAGTGGTGTGAGTGGCGAAACAGGGAGGGTAAAGGGAGAATGGGTAGGAAAGAGGGAACCGATTACATGGAACTGTGTGTGACCTCCTCCCTGGGGGACAGACAACCGAAAAGTGGGTGAAAGGAGACGTCGGACAGGGCAAGATATGACAAAATACCCATTTATAAACTATCAAGGGCTCATGCGGGAGGGAGGAGCGGGGAGGGAGGGGAAAAATGAGGACCTAATGTCGGGGGTTTGAGTGGAGAGAAAATGTTTTGAGAAACGATGTACAAATGCGCTTTACACAATTGATGTGTGTATGGATTGGGATGACAGTTGTATGAGCCCCTAATAAAATGTTAAAAAAAAAAAAACTTCCTCCTAGTAAGCGTGGGTTGGTCTTCTGCCCTTGTGGACACGATCACGATCACTCCTGTGGAATCTTGGGAAACAGTCCCCATAGCCTTCAGGGCCGCCTTCCCTGCCCGGAGTCACCCAGGTCCAGCACAACCTCTTGGCAGCCACTGTTCTCAGTGGCCTGTAGTTGTATTTTTCCAAAGGCCAGTGTGTTACTGAGAGGACTCGGCCTCCGTGGTCCATGGCAGAGACATGTTCCAACGTTTCATTCAGAAGAAACCACACGTGCACACTTGAACCTTAGTAACAGTATTGTGACTCGCCCTTGTGTGCGTGGGTGGCTGCTGCATGTATGTAGGAAAGAGCTCTTTGAGAAAGCTGTTGAACTTGTATATGGAGTTTGCAAGTCTTTCTCCTTGGAACTGTTAAACGCTGTACAATTGTCGGTGTTATCTTTGGCTGATATCCTGCGTGCTCTGCCCTGGCTGCAGTTCTTGTAGAGAGTGGTCCTTTTTGCAGGCCTCTTCAAGGATGGCCCCTGCCTGACCTCACGGCTGGGATAGCGGCCTCTTCTTGACCCTCTCCTGCTTTGCGCCAGACCCCTGCCAGGCACTTGGCTAGGAGTGCCGTTTCCGATTGATCCTTTCTTAACCAAGCTGCATGATCAGCTAGGGCTTGGAGGGGAGCGAGATACTTGGGAAGGAAGTACATGGTCACATAGTCACCTCTTTCTTTTTTGTGTGTGTGTAAAGCGCATTTTGTTTCTAGACCTTCCAAATCATTTTATTGTCTTTTAGAGATTTCCTCATCTGATTGTTCAGTTCTTGATTTTTTTCTCCCCCTAGCCAGTCTGAGATACTGTGATTTCCCAATACCTCCTGCTCCAAATATTCATTGATTTGACAGTGAAAATGTTCACTGTTCTATTATATAATGATCCCCTCATGCCTGCTTTATAGTCTCCTGTAACCCGCTGGGTCTACTGACTTGGACGTAGCTGTCTCTGACTCGATGTGTCCCCCCTCCCTCTCAGATCCAGGCTTCCTCAGGAGAAACCAAATACACTGGGGCCGTGGACTGTGCGAAGAAGCTGTACAGAGAGGCCGGGATCCGAGGCATCTACAAGGGGACTGTGCTCACCCTCATGCGAGGTAACTGTGACCCTCATTCCGGGGGGTGGGGGTGGGGTGGGGCATCATCACCTGAGGTGGGCCTGCCACAGAGGCTTTAACACCACCCATGCCACAGGCTGGCAGTGGGTGCCCTGGTAGTAGGCAGCCTTGGCCACAGGTGAGCATGAGCAGGGTGAGCCATCCACCCTGTGGGAGATGGCCCTCAAGGGTGGAAGCCAGGACCGCAGAGGTCGGAGAGCGTGGCCAGCAGAGAGAAATCAAGGCTGGAGGGAAGAGTAGAAAGAATGACAGGTAAAATGGGGCTCCCCCTGGGTTTTGAGGCATGTCCTGCTGGGCTCAGAGGGGAGAGCCCGAGACAGCTCCACCTTTGTTCTGAGATGGCTGTGCAGCCGTGGCTATGACTGATGGGGATGGGGATGATGGTGGGGCTCACTCCGAGGGAACTTTGAGATGTCATGCATCGTGTACTTTACATTGTGCTCTGTGCGGGTAGGGCCGCAAGACCTAGTTGGAGGAGACACTGAAGATGTAATGATGCCACGTTTGTGCTCCCTCACACGGTTGCACCTCCAAGAGTAGCATCTGATAACTGCAAAGGGACTATTGCCCCTGGGAAGAGGCTGCGGAGGGACCTCTTGGGAAACCTTGAGGGATCCAATTGTTCTCGGTTTTTCCTTGGTTCTTCGGAGTTTAGGAATTCTGTGGGGATTGTATATCCTTTCATTCACCGCTTTCTTGCTACTAACAGACGTGCCAGCCAGTGGGATGTATTTCATGACATACGAGTGGCTGAAAAACAGCTTGACGCCAGAGGGAAAGAGGTGAGTAGAACGGAAGCATGGAGTGCCCCGTGCTCAGACCTGGGTGAATCGTCCTCTCCTGCGGGTGGGTGGGTCTGAAGGACATATTCCTGGCACCCAGGTCCACACTCCTCTCCCGGCTGCTGAGGTCCAGCTCACACCTCCCAGTCTCCCACCAACGCCTCACCTAATGGGGCGGCTATGGGAAATGGGCACCTGAAACCACCTGCACAAGTGGCAGCTGCTGTGTTGCGGGAGCCCTTGAACCAGTTTGCCCCTTCTCTGCATAACACCCCCCCCCCATCAGCCTCAGGAGGCGTGGTCTGAGCCACTCCCCCACAGCCTTTGCCTGACTTGAGCTGTGATTGTCCTTCAGTGTCAATGAGCTCAGTGTACCACGGATCCTGGTGGCTGGTGGTTTCGCAGGGATCTTCAACTGGGCTGTGGCCATCCCTCCAGATGTGCTCAAGTCCCGCTTCCAGACTGGTGAGTGACAGGTGATAGGGTGGAGTCAGAGTGGGTCCCAGCACTGGTGCACTGGCTGCCATGGGGTGCAGAGCCCCTAAGGCCCTGAGGGATTACACCATGCACATAGAAGGCAGCATCACTCCGGTCCGAATTGTGTTCTTGAAACCCTGGACTAATTTTCATATCAGCCTAATCACAACATGAGTGAGACAAGAAGTCAGACTTGCCTGAGTGGAAGGGTTGGTTTGTTTGCCATCCAGCGCTCTCCTCGGTACCCTCAGCACCAGGTCTCCAGGCATTTGTGCCTGCTTGACCCAGGGCGTACCGGGTTGTCTCCGGCCTGTCCCAGGATGACCCACAAGGTGCTCTCTCTGCTGTGCTGTGGCCCTGCAGGACGACTTAACAGCAAGCCTTTCCCCCTGTGGGCTGTCACAGCCAGCTCAGGAAACCTCCTGCATTCTTAACAGTTGGGTTCTGTCCCCACAGCCCCTCCTGGGAAATATCCTAATGGTTTCAGAGACGTGCTCAGGGAGCTAATCCGGAACGAAGGCATCACCTCCTTATACACAGGCTTCACTGCAGTGATGATCCGAGCCTTCCCAGCCAATGCGGTAAGCGGTTAGCAGGGCGGTGCTCTCCCTGCAGGGCTTAGAGCACTGAGCAGGTGGGCTGGCTTTTACTCACGCCTGGCATTGGATTAAGGAGCCTGGGTGGTGGTACAGTGGTTAAAGGGCTATGCTGCTAACCAATCAATAGGTGATTGAAATCCACCTGTGGGAGAAAACATGGCAGTTGGCTTCTGTAAAGATTTACTACTTTAGAAACCCAAGGGGGAAGTTCCGCTGTCTTACAGGGTCCTGGGAGTCAGAATCGAAGTGCTGGCAGTAGCTTTGGTTTGGGGTTTGGGATTGGATTGGAGACTCAGTCTTCCTAAGACCCTGTCCTACACCAAAGCTTCCTTATTTGCCTTTTTTGGAAATTGTCAGAGGGATTGCCTTTGGAGTTCTCTGTGGGTACACTCGCTCACACACTCACTGCTGTCATCTGTGTCCTATAGGGTCACTCAGAATGACCCTATAGGATGAGGTAGAACTGCCCTTATTGGTTTCTGAGACTGTAACTCTTTATGGAAATAGAAAACCTCAATTTTCTCCCAAGGGTGGTTTTGAACTGTTGATCTTGTGGTTAGTAACCCAAGGCATAACCACTACACCACCGCTCAGAAGGCAGGGGCTTTGATTTCCTGACTGTGATATCAGGAGTGAACGGGGAGCTAATAATGAATACAAGAATGAAGAAAATGTTCTGAAATAGATTATGGAAATGGTTGTCCAAATCTTCTTGATATGATTGAACTATTGAATTGTATGATGTATGGATTATGTCCCAATAGAACTATTTAATAATAATAATAATAATAATAAAAAGCACGAACAGGGTGGAACACACATTTTCTTTCCCCGTTGGAATGCGAGAGTGGAGAGTGGGGAGTGGGCTTAGGGAGGAGCTTCCATCCTGACACAGCTTTTTGTCTCTCTCTCAATCCCTCCTCAGGCCTGTTTCCTTGGCTTTGAAGTTGCCATGAAGTTCCTTAATTGGGCCACCCCCAACTTGTGAGGCAGAGGCTCCGCCAGGCTTTCGGACACTGGAAGCCTTTGCCAAGGAGAAGCAGTGGGCAGGACTGGGCAGTCGCAGAGGGTGAGGGGAGAGGGGGAAGATGGTATCAGAGCTGTGTGTGTGGCCCTGGTGAGACCGTGGCCTTAATAACTTGATGTGCCATTTTGGAACTTGAATTCACTCTTGTTGATATAAGGGATCTCGAGAGGATTTGGAGATGAACGGCTGTGGCCAGAATCCTATGTACCCCTTGACTGACTGCTGACCTCACTGCATCCAATGTGCTCCTCACCAAAGAGTGCCTCCCACTGGTGGCACTATGCATATTTTGACCAGCTGACCATTAGCTAGGGTCCTCCACAATTCTCAGGGTGACATCTAATTCTGGACTGCACATGGAATGTAGACTTGACCGTTCACAACCTCTGTGGCCTTGTGGACTGGGCATGTGTACCTGTGAGCAGCTAGACTGTTAGTGCCTGGGTTTGGGTTTCTTTATGCATGCATGTAATCAGGAAGTCAAACGAGAATACTCTGATTTCCCTGGAATAGGTAGAGAGCCTCCCCTATCGCATTATGAGAACAGAATTGAATCGAAAGTCCTAGCAGCTGGGATAAGGGAGAAAACCCAGGAGAGGGGAAGGCTCTTGTTGCCCACTCTCTTCTCATGAGAATGCCCTATCTTAATGGGAAGCAATAAATATTGGTCCTCATTTCTTTTGCAGTGTGTGATAATTTCTTTCTTTTGATTCTGGGCCATTTCCGTAGGCAGCTTTCTCTTCAGTAGACACTCTCTGGGATCTAGCTTCCTTCTTTGGGAGTTTGGGGCAGCAGCCTCCAACAGGAGGATGAAGAGGAAGTACTAGATGGCCCAGCCTTCCCTGACTGCCCCCACTCCCTGCTGCAGGAGGAAAGACCACGTTTGGTGGGACAGGAAGACTTGAGTCTGTGACAGCCTCCTTGAGGCCAGCCTGCCACTGAGCTAACAGATGGAAGGTCTATGTCCTAAAAGGGCAAACAAAAGCCCAAGTTGTGCATGTGGACTTTGGGGTCACCACGTGATCTGACATCATTATCTTGGCTTTCCTAGTCAAGCCCATCAATAGTGATATCCAATTCTGGTCCCTTTGGCATTCTTGTCTGGGTGAGGAGAAGAGTATGCCCTGCTACTGCAGCTGGACTCCTGGCATTGCTCCTGATCCAGCTGCCAGTTATTTCCCATCTCACTGCAGCTTCAGAGAGTCCCTTGGACTTTGTATTTAGAGCCACCGCTCTGTAAATAAGCAACAGGGCTGGGAGGTTAGACTGGTGAGAAGCTGAAGATTTGGGGGGTTAAGGAAGGAGGCTTTGTTCCTGAGAAGTTATTTCTACATGACCCAAAAGGAATCATGACCAAGTAGCAAATAACATTTCTACAAGGTGAAGGGGTATGCCCTCAGCCTGAGAAGGTTAATCCAGTGCTAAGCCTACCCCCCTCTAATGCTGGTGGTGGTGGGGGTGTCTTTGTGCCATCTCATTGGTTTGGAGATGGCCACGTGTATGTGCCTCCTGAAGCTTTTCTTGGCACTACCCGTCCTCAGCCTGTGGTGAAATCTTGGCCTTTGCCGGGAATCCCTTGTGAGTGTATTTGCATTCCAGCCAAATGTCAGCCTTTTCTCATGGCTCAGGATCACTTCCATAGTTTGTGCTTCTGGATAATTTTCCCTTTGAAACATCTTCCATTTTAACATGGCATGTTCCTGTTCCTAGATGTTAGTGGTGGTAGATTCCTTTCCTCCTTTGAGCATTTAATAGATGTTAAAGCCAAGTAGGGAAGCCCCTGGAGGCATATTTGTGAACTGAGTGGAGCAGATGGTGAGTGACTCCCTCTGGCTGGCGCTTCCTCTTTACTGTGTACTTTGAAATTCCGTTCCAGAAAGATCTCAGTCTCTCGGTGTGAGTCAGGGGGTGGGAATAATCAGGACCCTCCCCAGCAAATTCTTTGACCGTAAGTCTTAATTTGGAGCCAGAACGGTGATTGTTAACACAACCATCCAGGGTTAACACCCTCACCCAGACAGAAGGGTAAAACTGGGGCAAAGGTGAGGGACAGAGGGTGGGTGGTTGGTTGCAACCACAGTGCAGAAGCACAATAGAATCATTTTTGCTATAACGTCAGCCCATTTCCACTGCACGATTCATTTCCTCCAGTTTTTCAGGTGAAGACCCTGCCCAGATAGCCTTTCTATAACACCCTCATGGCTCCTTTTCTCATCTGATTATCCCAGAAGAACTCAGCATGTCACAGATGAGGATTGTTGTCCTCATTTAACGGCCGTGGAGGCCAAAGCTCAGGCAGGTAACTCATTTGTGGTCATTGGCAAGTTGGGAAACCATCAGCTGTTAGGGGCTGTCTGTACTACAGGGCCCAAGCCCTTGCCCTGAGACTGAGGCCTGGGGTGTGGTGACACACTGTCTCAACAAGCACTGGCAAGGCCCTGCTTTCTCTCTCTGTCTGGTCAGGATGTAAACCTGAGGTGTCCCAGAGGCAGAGCTTTGGTCTGCTGCAGACTTTGACACTTTCTTGAGATGCAGTAGTACCCTGGGAAGCGGGGTGGCTCACAGGTGCAGAAATGGGTGCCCTGGAAAGTACTTGCTCCCTATTAAAGTAGATCAGACCAAAGGCAGGTGAGCTCATTGGGGAGGCCCCTTGGAAGCTAAAGCACCACATGGATAAGGGCAGAGGAAACAACTCCCTTTCTCAATCCTTCTAGCTCACTGAAAGCTCCTCAACACTTCCAAGACGAAGTAGAAACTGGTGGTGGTAGGTACTAAGGATACTGGAAGGAATGGACCAGCAAAGGGTTGGCATCAAATGGTCAGATGACCAGCAGGTCCCAGGAGACACGTATGGGGAATTGGAGTGACTAAGAGGAGGGACTCCTTTAGGTAGGGAAGAGAGGGGTGTTCCTGCTGGGGCTGAGTCCCTCCAGCAGAGAGGAGGCATCAGAGAAGCCACAGGGTGTATCTAAACTGGGGAGCCTGGGCTCAGAGCAGGCTTCAGAAGAGGCCAGATTTTTCACCTTCTGCCTAGAGATGGAGGAAGCCTTTTAAATAATGGCCCTATGAAGAGTATTGTAATTCTCTTACATTGGAACCAATGGTTGGTACCCTACCTGTGTTCCTTTTCACGGAGATCCACTGCTGTCAGGCTAAACATGACCATGACCCTAACTTGGGTTACTCTGCTTCCATGGTTGTAAGCCTCAGAATTGACCTTGTGTTTCCGTCATGATGTAGTGGTTATGAGTTGAGCAGCTAACTGCAAGGGCAGCAGTTCGAAACCACCAGCCACTCCTCTGGAGAAAGGGCTTTCTACTCCCCTAAAGAGTTACAGTTTCAGAAACTCACAGAAGGCAGTGAGGGTTTTTTTGCCCATGTCTGCCTGTGGCTGGCCGTATGGCAGTTTGTACGAGGAGTTGATTCCGGCTGGTAGCGAGTAGGACTGAGTTGGTGAATAGAGCGCCCCTCAGGGCTCCGTAGGTGCTGCCTTTCCCCCACAACATCAGTTTTTCATGCTTCTGAGAGTTTCAGATCCTGGCGTTTTCCACTCACAGGTTACGTGCTGTTGGCATGGCTGCTTGAGGGGGTTGCCATGGTAACCTGCAGTGATGCAGCTGGACAAGCTTGAATGCAGGCAGTTCTATGAGGGTCAGGGTGAAGGATCCAGGGCTCAGGCACCTAGTGTTTGCTCCTGATCCAGGGCTTTCTTCCCTGTCCAGTTCAACTGGGTATGCATGAAGGCCCTTGGGATCCACTTGCTACTGACGCACTGCCTAGCAGGAGCAGAGGTGACCCCTGCTCTGGGGAGCAGGTGTGGGGGGATGGGAGCCAGGTTGGGCCTGGAACCTAGCTGTACTTCAACAATCATGGGGTTCCCCACTTTCTCTTCTGGCTCTCGCTCCCTGTAAAGAATGACGATGGATGGGCCAGCTGTGGGCTGTCTGAGACCAAATCAGATAGATGATGGGCCTGCTTCTGGCAGATGCCAGTGGGGGCTGCTTGGGGTGATTGGGAGGACCTGGTGGAACCCAGCTTGACCGTCAGCGTGGGAGTAGCTACCGCCTCCCCTGTTTTGCATTTGTGGGAGTCCTACCAGTACAGATGTCCATGCCCCTTAAAGCCTGTGAAATCTGAAAATTTGTCCAGAAGGTTGGCCTTGGGGTTGCTGAAAAGGGGCAGGTGTGGGAGCGCAATGGGAGTCACACGCAGGCATTCTGGGTGTCACTGAACCAAGCCGTGGTCTTTTCAGTGGCCTCATGCATGTGAAAGTTGGACATTGAATAAGGAAGACTGGAGAAGAATCAGTGCTGGCAAAGAATACTGAAAGCACCATGGACCACCGAAGAACGTGAGCATGACTTGGACGAGGTACAGCCGGAATGCTCCTTAGAAGCAAGTGGCGAGGCTTCATGTCATGCACTTTGGATATGCTATTAGGACAAACTAGTCCCCGGACCAGGACATCATGCTTGTTAGAGGGCCAGCCAAAAAGAGGAAGACCGGCAACAAGATACATCGACACGGAGGCTGTAAAACTGGCTCAAAGATAGAAACAGTTGTGAGGGTGACACAGGACTGGGCGGCAATTCATTCTGTTGTACGTGGGTCTCTATGGGTCAGAACCCACTGGATAGCACCTAACAGCAACAACAACTAACAACGATCAAGTGCTGACTCCCAAAGAGACATCTCTCCCTGGAAAACTTGGGAAGGGGAGTCTTCCCAAGAGGAGGGAAGAGTTGAGGAGTCCTGCACCTCCAGCTGCTCACTGCCTACCCTTAGTGAGGTCTTCCCATTCTGAGAGCAGATCACAGCTTTGAAACAAACAATAAAGAGTCTAAGACTGCCATGTTAGGAGAGCCCTTTCAATGTCTTTGCTTGCTGTGTGGCAATGTATCATTAATTCAGTCAGTAAACCTTCCCAGGAGTGTGCAGTAAGAACCCAACAGAGTAAGTAAACAGTGTCCTTTCCCCATAAAGTTAATGACCCAGGACTCCTCCCAGGGGGCCAGAGAGCTTGTCCAAGGAGAGACTGCGCTTTGGAACCGTAGGGCTGCCTGGCCTAGAGCCTGGACTGGCCTCTGCACCAGTGGGGACTGGGTGCGCCTGCTGCCGGAGGCTCAGTCCTCAGCAGCTCTCATCTCCTGGATGTGTGCCAAGCTAGTAAGGGAGGTGGTAGTGAACATCTTAATTAGTACTGAATAATTACCAGACGGTGCTTAACCATCCCCAGTGCCCTTCAGGTTCCCCAGCTTCCAGTTAGCCACTTCCTGGCTGGGCCCTACAAGAGAAGGTCTCTCCCCTAGGCCCACTGGGCCTTTGGTCAGACTCTATCTAGGCTATAGCATGGATCCCGGGAAGACTTTCATGTTTTTATTGCCCTCCACTTCCAGTCTGGTGAAGGAAGAGGCAAGCTGGGAAATAGCCAGGCCTTTCCATCGGACTTAATGTGGGAGACTTCCAAAAGTTTGTGAAAAATGAAATTAAGAGATAGAGAATTTCCATAAAGAATTTGAAACACACCCCGCCCCCCTCAGATGTTCCCTCCCCAGGAGCAAAGGATAACAGTGCCCGGAATCTTCTCAACTCCAACAGCGACGGCCCAAGGCCTGGGACTGGGGTGCAGGCTGGAGGGATGTGCAGACTTAGACATGGCAGCTTTCCTGGGAGCTTGCTGTTGCTGTGAGCCTACTTCCCTTTTTGGTCCCATTTGGCGGAGTGAGCTCCTAACAGTGTAAATTGCCCTTCCTGAAATTCACGCTACCTACAGGGCCTTCCCCTCCTGACATCTCACCCACTTCCTGCTAGCCTCCCAAGAGTCCTATGATCATTCTACCATTTCACCCAGTGGTTGAGGTGACCCTCACTTGACCGGACCTTCGCTCTCGATGTCCTCTGTGCTCAGATGACTTTCCTGCAGATCTTCCTGTGGCTGGATCCTGCTCAGGCTTGAATGTTACTCCATAACGTGGACTCTCGCGGTCTGTATCTTAGTGGAAATCACATCAAGCGATGGTCGCCTGCTACCCAGGAAGGAAATAGATGCTTAGCATGTGTTGCAAGAATAAATGAAAGGTCCTCAGGACCTGGTGAGCGGCTTTAACCAGCACCCCATCTCACGCGTAGAGCATTCATTCTTTCATCGGTGGGCACTCAATAGAGACAGCTGCCTCACCTTACCACACCGTGACCCTGGGTTGCCAGCGCGGTTAGTGGCCCGGCGGCGCACGCGCACTCCGGGCCAGCGCTCGGCGGGGGCGCGCACGCCCGTGGCCGCGTACGTCACAACCCGGGCGCCTG